TGCTGCTGCCCTTCCTGCTGTGCTGGAATCACACTTCTGCTTTCTGGAGAGCTTGGCAAATCCTTTGCATTGGGGTTGGAAGAGCCAGAAGAGGGGCAGGGAAATGGAGATACCCAGGCTGAGTGCACCTTGCTAGCATGTGGCATTCACTTTGCTGGAGGCAAGGGTAAAGCCATAATCCAGTATAAAAATTATGTAAGAGGACTTCCCCCTTTCTCCTTGCAAACTGCCCCTCTGCTGAGGATTTACCATAATTCCTCCGAGTGGACAAGATACGCCACAGAGCCTGTGCTGATGTCTGATGGGGAGACAACTCCCTCAAGCCTTTTGCTCATGTGGAATAATTCCCTCGCAAATGTTGTTTGCCCACAGCGGTTAGAGAGAGATCCTCCCCCTGAAATGGGCCCAAGTGACAAAGCTCAGAAGAAAAATGCCCCGTGATCCCAGAACGGCACCCCGCCTCCTCCCTGCCAGAACGTCCTCTGCTCTGTGACAGGTCCCTGTGAGCCTCCCAGGGCTATCTTCCAGGGTTCCTTTCCCTGCGTGGTGCCCCACTCCTGCCACAACAGCTCTTCCTTTCTCCTGCCATCCTCTGGCAGATCTGCGCCTCGAATTCTACTTGTCCGCACCTGGCCCACACCTGAGGCCAGCATATTTGGTCCCCCCCCGGGGATACAAACTGTGGTCCTGAGGCATAGTTCTTCTGCCACAGCCTCTGTCCAGCACAGCAGAGGCCTTAGCTCACACGTCTCTCTTGCTTAGGGTGAGAGGCGGTGGCAGCAGTGTGCTGGGCAGGCAGTGAGAGGAGGGGGCAGGATGCCCTGTGCACCATGTGTGTGTGCACGTGTCGGTTCACGCATCCATATGCACACATACGTGCACGCTACCACTCACACATAGTCTTCCCACCACAAGCAAAATCTGTTGGAGGCTTCAGCTCATTTTAGACTCAATTCTCTCCCCCTTTTTTCCCAAGCAGAGCTGCTCTCAGAGGCAACACTAGGAAATTCTGTAAAGTTTCCCCATGCTGTATTTTTGCCCTTTTCTCCTTAAAGTTCAGAATCACGGGCTCAGCCTGCTGGATACAGCTTGGTATTTATTTTTGGGTACACTGATGGTAGGGCAGCCTCCACCTCATGTCAGCAGGCATGTCCCTGAGCTCTGCCTGTGTAGTTGTACATGCATACACACATACACCCACATGTATGCACAGCATCCCAAAGCACGTTTGCTGAACGCTGGATCTGGCACCTACCCAGTGCTGGTCTGGGAGAAGGTGCATCCAGTTTCCCACACCGAACTGGGCTAAAATCAGCACCGCTGCCCTTCAGCCTCGCGTTAACGACTCTGTGGCCCTCCCCAGGGAGGTTGGTTCCAAGAGGCAGCCCCACCGATCTCATGTAGGCTGGGGAGGACGCGCGGCGGGGAGACGGCTCTACTTACAAGGACAGACGCTCCTCTGAGACACGGGGCTTTTCCAGCGCACCCTGGGCAATCCCAAAGCAAATCCAGCAGAACGTGCCTTGTCGCCCAGCAATCTCACGGAGAGCTCTAGTTGGCACGGGCTCGGTGGCCAGAAGGCCAGGTGGCCGCACCACACGTGGGGCTGAGGAGCCGCGCACTCAGCGGGCAGCGTGGGGAGCGAGCTGTAATCCCCTGAGAGCAATAAATAGAGGGAGGGAGAGCGAGCGGGAGGCGAGAGAGGCTGAGCGCAGGGCTGAGGGTACATCGGCAGCGGCAGCACGGGGACGCGCACCCGTGGTGCCGAGGCATCACTCAGCCGGTGGGCAGGGTCCGATCCGGATCAGCTGGAGGAAGGGACACGGGGGCTTTCCATCTCTCAGCCTATCCTGGGGGAAGAACCGTCGCTCGCCTTCAGCCTCACCATCTTCCTCCTGCCCCCTCGCTCCTTTCCCTCTCCCAGTAAAAGGGGCCAAGGGGGGCAAGGAGGTGCCAGCTTGGGGGTGAGGCAGATTGATGCGAGTCGAGAGGCTGCAAGAGGAGCTCTGAGCCGGGCTGCCTCTTCCCCGCCTCCTCTCGATGTGATGGCTGATCACAATGAGCCGGGGAGAAAGCAGGCGAAGGGACACCCGCTGTGTTGGCTGTGTATCCTATGGGGATAAGACACCCAGTGGGGGGGACACCAAGAGGATCGGAGCGAGACCCCCTTCCATCAGCACTGCGGAATGCAGGGTGTGTGGCACAGGGATTTCACCAGGCATAGCTGGGTGCATCCCTGCCACTGTCACCCCTCCGGGATGGAGCATGTCCCGGCCTCTGCTCCTGGGGGGGGGGGGGTTAGGGAAAACTTGACAGGGGGACAGAATGATTATAATGAGGGGAATGGTGAAAGAGGGGAGCACTGACACCAACAGTGTGAGCCCCTGGATTGGGGGAGTGGTGGGGAGCACAGGTCAGACAGGATGGCACTCTGTTTCTAGTGGGTGGCAGCCCTGCCCATGGCAGGGGGCTGGATGGGTTCAAGGTCCCATCCAATACAAGCTGTTCTATGGTTCATTCTATGATTCTAAGTTGTACTTTCCCCTGCTCACCATGCCTGTTGGTGAAGGGGCATGGGAGGGACCAAAACCCAAGCCCCTGCCTGTCCCAGGCATCTCACTGTGCTCCCACATCCATCCTGCCAAAGCCAACCCCTTCTTGTTGGGAGCTCCAGCAGCTAATGTTTGCCAGGCTTTGCTGATCCACTTCTGTGTGATTTTGGCTTTTTGCTATTTTCAATGTGTCTTAAAGTTTTTAAATAAATTTTTTAGCGGATTTTCTCAGACCTAATGGGGCAGCTCCTCTTCTGGCTTGGAAGTGGAGAATGGGAATATTTCAGAGATAGGGAGCAGGGAATACAGTGGGAAATAAAGGCTGCCCAGGCACATTCTTTCATTGGAAGCACAGTTTTTATTTAAGCATCAGAGCGGCCACCATGAAAACAGGTTCTGAATGGCAAGGTACATCTTGATAAGCGGTCCCCAGGATGTAATCTCACAACTCTTTGTGGCGCCTCTTTGTGACGCGGCAGGCCAGAGAATTAAACCTTGAGAAAAGCTCCTTATGAGAGCAGCATATGGATAATCAAAGAGACAGGCTGGAGAAGGCAGACAGAACGAGAGACGGCAGAGGATGAGCTAATGAGGCAGACATGCTCGGTGAAGGAAGGAGCAGGTGGAGGGGAGGCTGTTCTCTCCGCACTGAACCAAGAAGCTGGTAGCAGCGGGTGCTGGCCGGGCCTGCAGGTGGGAAGCTGCCTGCTGCTAGGTAGCTCCTCAGCATGATGTAGCACCAGCTCGATATGCAAGCATGCAGCATGGCTTGTCCCTGGGTTTTGTTTCATTGCTGGGAAACTGGAGGCGCCCAGGTTATTTGTACATTGGTTGGAATAAAATGATTTGCCATGGTCCCTCCAAGGACTTCACGGCTGTTGCTGTGCAGCACACAAAGCCATTCGCAATTTCATGGCCTTGGATCTTCCACTCCTGCAGCACACACTCTGCAACCAGAGCAAAAAGGGCCCTTAGCTACACTTCAGTGTGAGAAGAGAGTCTTGTTGCAGTCCTCTCCCTCTCAGCTGAGCTGTCCATCCAACCGGGGTGATGAGGAGTGGTGGTACCAGGCAGGAGCATGGGGCAGGCCTTCCGCCATGGCTTCCTTTGATGGGTGCTTTGCAGACAGGCAAACCTGACTGCAAATCTAGAAGGGGACAGACCCTGCAGCTCAGGCTCAGGATGTGCTGCTCCTGCCTGCTGGGCAGAGGCAGGGATGGCAACCAGGGGCGGAGGTCCCTCAGAAGAACACTTTGGGGATAGATGTTCCCACTGGCAAAAAATGAGCCTCTCAGTGTGTCTGTGCTATGCAAGGTTAGCTGTGTTGGTGTCAACTCCTCTTTCAGTCTCATAAAAGCTATAAGGCCTGGATAATGCTCAGTGGCACTGATGTGATCTGCTGTGATAAGGGGAATAGCTGTTTCCTGAGAAGCTATGAAAGAGAACAAGGAATCTCAAGTGAGCGCTGTGTCTTGTCTAGTTTGTGCAGTGTGGGACTTAGGGCTTAGGGCAGCTGTACAAAATCATTCTTTTCCCCCAGTCACTGGCAGTCAGAGCTGTTCTGCAGCAGGGTAAGGGGCATATACATGAATGGAATTCCATAAGCTCTGCAAGCAGTAGGACTGTGACAGGAAGGGCTCTGACACTGCTACAGAAGGCAGAGCTGCCACGATATGGCTGTGACCCCTGCTGGTGCCAGGCTTTGTGCATGCTGCATGGAAATCACCACCGGGAGTCTCTGGCTTTAATTCACACCCATCCGAATGAGAGCATCAGATCTCAGCATCAGAACAGCTGTGCTGTTCTGTCAGGGAGACCCTGCCCGGCTTCTTCCAGTGTGGGGCTGTGCCTTGCTTCAGGAACGTGGTGCTGGGAATAGAAGAGCAATTAAGCTGAGAAATTAGGGTGCACTTCATTAAGTAACACATACACTTCTTGGAGTGCGCACTGGGCTGGGCTGGGGTAACAATGCAATACTACCCCACATGTTCTCATCAAGGGGCATTAGTGGTTTTGTGCTTTTGAGGTGGCTTAAAAGCAATTTCAGTCACTGCTGTTTCCTCCTGAGAAGGGGGAGGTTCGCATCCCTTCCTCACGCTGCCCTACTTTTTGCTGATTGATACTGGGTTGTGAGGAGATGAGACAGGGAGGATCAGAGCAGTCCATTCCAGCTGGACAAACCCACAAAGGGCAGAGATGAAAGCGCACAGGCTCTCTCTGTGTTTTCTTTTAGGGGGATTTTGTTTCAGTGGTGGTGTTCTCAGTTTGTAGGTCGGCAGTGTTCAGCATGAGGGAGGTGTCAGTGCCTCAGTGCAGCAGCCAGAGTCCTCCTCAGCCCTACCTTGTTAAAGCCTTGACTCTCAACTGCAGTCTGTTTACTACTCATTTCCTAACTTCGCCTTTCTCTCTCTCGCACGTTCCTCTTTTCCTCCTTTCCTATTCCCATAGCGGTGGGCGTGCAAATCAAGCTGGAGTTACTCCAACGCAAGTTCTGGATGGCCATGCAGCAGGTAGGAGCACCACTGAGCGTGCAGGCAACGCAGTGCTCTTGGTCAGATGGGCCAAGGCTGCTGTGCATCATGAACAGTGGTGGTATTTTCATAAGGGCTGTAGTGAAATTCATATTAAAAGATTTTGGAAGTAGATTAGTTGGAAGTCACACGTTTCCCTAATCTTCAGACAGCACTAATGCTGCCTGAGCCCCAGGTCTGCTCCATAAACACTACGGTGATGGTGTCAGCATCCCAGCCCAGCATTAGCTCTGCTGCATATGACATTTAATTGTGGAAATATGTCTCTGCTCATCCTGCCTTTCAGAAACCTCATGGAAATCTAAAATTTCAGGAACATGGGGGAAAAAAAATGTTCTGCCCTCTTTTATCATCTTGATGATCGTAACAAAATGCTACGAGCTTGCCAAAATACAAATGATTTGCTGCAGGGATAAACTTTCAATGTTGTGCTAATTCTGAACCCTTTCTGCACCATGAGGAATTACTGAAGCTGTCCTCCTCTGAGGGGCAGGAGAGGGGAAACACCATCCTACTAGCACCAGAGGCTTTCCCCACAGGTTTTGCCACTGGGGGGGGGGGGACGACAGACCCAGGGCTGGAGAAGCATACAGTGGACATGGATCTTAGTGGTCAGCAGGGAAGAGGCAGAAGGTGAGGGCTGTGGAAACAGAGGGCTGGGAGGGTACTCGTGAGGCTGGGCAGCAGGAGGCAGAGGCACCCCATCTCTTGCAGACCATACCCAGGTGGCTCAAACACAAACATGGGTGCAAGCCCATTTCAAGTGTTAATTGAAAACAGGGGTGCTTATGACAGAAGCTGAAAGGAGGCTTGCGTGCCAAGCACCTGCACACCACAGTTGTAGGGAAAAACCCTGCTGGGCTTCCTGTGGCCGCAGCCTGGCAGGGGCAGTACTAACAGCTCTGTTTCCTCTCTCCCGCTGCCCTGGACATGCTGCATCGGCTGCCTCCAGCCCAACGACACCGATGTAAGTAGGCACTTGGCTGGCATTGCTGGGTATATGGGTGCCAGTGCATGGAGGTCATGGTCTGCACTGGGTCTGAGGGTCATGACTTTCTGGGGCCTGCAGTCAGGGGAGACGACCCCAGCCTGTGTGTCCCACATGTGTGACCCCCAGGTGGTCATGCTGGCTCCTTATGGCCATATTTCTCTGCTGTGCTGCATAAAGGCAGTGGTGAGGCTGTGCTTGCATCTGTGGGTGAAGCCATCTTCCCCGCAGCCTCCGAGAGCCACTTGGAGCTGTACTGCAAACAATGTGACAATCACTGACACTCCCTCGAAACTAAGCAGAGGGATGGAAACCTGGAAATAGAGTTTGTTCTGCTAAACTCAGGATGAGAAACAAATCCTATCTTAGAGTAATGGCTTTGTTATACTTAGAAATTTGCTTCTTGGTATTGAGAATCATCCAGAAAGAGGCTGGGGCTTCTGCATAATAAGGGCTTTGCAGAGAGAAAGGGCAGTGGGGGAGGGGGGAGCAGGCAGGCTGCAATATGTCAGCATCCTCCCCTGGCCCTGGAAGACCTCTGGCAGGAAGGGGACCCCATGTACAGAAATGGCAATGCCGTGTCAGCTTCCCTTTCTCAGCTGCTAGCACGAATGGCGCTGAAAAATAACACAAAGAGACAGACATAGGCAGCCACCACCTACTCTGAACAATTACAGAATCAATAAGCACCTGAAGGGCTTTGTTACTTGCCACTTAACCCCTCGTGTCCCCATCCGGTTCAGTGTTGTGAAACACATGTCAAATCCGGTACACAGAAATCCTAAATGAAACAAATGGATGGTGCCCGGGGCTACACAACCACCATTCACATCCTATTTTATCATTAGCTGTCCTCAGAATAAAGAAACCAACAGCAACAACAACAAAAAAACCCCCGCCTGAGAATAATCCTGATCTAAAATACCATGCCATGTATTTCCCAGCAGATGCTGAAATGCGTGCTGTTTCCTTGCCAGCGCACAGCAGCCTCTGCTAGCACAGCAGAGCTGGCTGCTGACCCTTCCCTTACCAGCCCTGGCTCTGCTCTGGGCACAGAGTTGTGCTGAATGTGCTGGGACAGCAAAGGGGACGTTGCTCAATGGGGAGGCACAGCACAAGGGCTGCACATGGCCACGGACTGACCGGCCTGAGGGTGCTTCTTGTCTTGTTCCACATGCCAGCTGACCTGCAGAGCTTCATGAGATGCTGGTGTGGAGACCCTGTGCAGTCCCAAGGGGGAGGCTGGAAGATGAGATCATGTCGTGATGTAATTCCTGCTTTTCCTTTCCAGTGCAGTGCCTTCGATGGTGCCTGTCCTCTCAGCTGTCAGGACGATGTAAGTTGCCCAGATTTCCTCTCTGTATCTGCAGTGGGAACTACCAATGGCCATGGAGGTCTCTGTTTCTCCAGACATCAGGTGCTGCCTGCCATCTCACAAGAGGTTGCACAGCTAGGGTAGGACAGCTTAGATATTCTCTTAACTTAGATGTTCTCCTACTAGTGACATCAATTGTGAGATGTCAGCCCTGCCCCCAGCAAGGGGTTGGAACTAGATAATCTTTAAGGTTTGTTCCAAGCTAGGCCATGCTATGATTCTGTGCCAGCTGAGCCCACCAGGGACATGTGGTGTCCAGCCAGTCCATCCTTTCTAAGGCAGTCCCACCACTGTCACCAGCCTGCCAGAGAGAGAGGCAAGCAGCATGACATGTGCTGGACTGTTCTCTTTGCATTTATGCCACTGCTCTGCATGTCTCAGGCATATTGAGGATAAGATATTGTGCCCTGGAGAGTGGAATCACCACAGTTCTCCTCCCATGTTCATCTAGGACCATGATTTTTGGAGCTCCATGCCTCCATTTCCTGCTTTGCAAAATAAAAATGATAAAAGAAGCACAGGTACTAAGTGGTGAGGAGAGAGTTATTTAATGAGTGGTTATAAAAATATGAATTCTGGAGATGGAAAACAGTAGAAGAGGGATACCCTCCAAATATTCTGTCAATGCCTACAGGATGTATCATCTCTTTAAGAGTGGTTCAAACTGTTTTAGCCCTACATACAGCCATAGCAAGACAGCATCTCTGTCACAAGCTGAATACCTCAAAAAGGGGAAGCAGAGGGACATCAGTGCTCCAAAGCCTGTGTTAGCTTTGTGATGGGGCAAGGCATGGCAGTGTTGGGGCTGAGCCCACACTTCACCTTGTGGAAGCCAGCACAGCACTGTCTCTGATGTCACTTCTCTTTCATCTCCACAGGTTCTGAATTGCTTCCTCATTGATAATAATGGCTTTATCCTTGTTTCCAAAAGACCTCCAGAGGTAAGAGTACATGAGAGAAGGAGGGGAGGGTGCATGGTGTGTTCACTGAGCACCAGTGAAGCCTAACAAGGGTTACAAGGGTGGCCAGGTTGTGGTGACACTTGGCTGCGTGGTGAGAGGACAACACATCCCAGGTAAGGCAGGAGTTTGTGATGATAAAGATGGAACCGGTCATGTCATCCTTTTGTTTCCTTTTCTCCTGTGAATGTGACTGGGACAAGCAATACATCTATGATAAAAGAACTTAGCAGCTATAGTTCTTTGCAAGTGCTGGCAAAACAATAGTAGGGGAGAATGAATGGCAGACTGTATTTCAGTTTCTCAAAAAGCCTGTAACAGAGTATCTCATAAGAGGCTGTTCAAGAAGTTGTAGTTTAAAAGTGGAGCATGAGGTAGGGTCACTCATCTCAAAGCAGCTGGCACAGAAAAGAAAAAAGAGGAATAAAGCAGGATTTTGGTAATAAAAATTTGTGTGTCCCATAATTTTCCATCTGAACTCATGTTGGTTACCATGCTCGTAATAGGCTGGCAAAGAAAAAAGTGAGATTGTGAATCCAGCACACAATAATTTCAAAGAAGCCAAAATGAGGGCTGCAGGGAGTCACAAAGCAAAGTGAATCTGCACCATGGTAGCACTGGGGGGGGGGGGTGATACAGACGGATATAAAGATATAAAGAGGGAAGGAAAAACCAGCCTCTTTTCTGTCAGGACAGTGACCTACCTGGCACAGTGACTATTTCAGTGAAGGTCCCTGTTCAACAACTTGTTTTGCCAAAAATAAAACAAAGAAAACTTGAAAAATAAAGAAGGAAAATACTGCAAAGAAGTATTGGCTTTCTACTCTGAGAAGCCAAGTCCTGCTGTATGTTCACTGTGGGTCTGTTTTGTCTGCTGACTCCCATGGCATTTTCAAAGGTGCTTTACTGAGTTCAATCTTGTCTATAGATAAAGACATTTACACCTTACTGGCACCATGTCTACTCTTCATTTTCAGCATCACCCACCTGGGTCCTGCATCTTATGAAAAACAGGTTTTTCAAAAAGCTTGTCTCTGAAAGACCTGACTAGCAGAAACATGTCAGGATAGTGAAAGTGGGTAAATGGTAAACACAGAATCATAGAATCACAAGGTTGTAAATGACCTGCAAGATCATCTAGTCCAACCGTCCTCCCATTACCATTGCTACTACAAGCACTAAACCAAATCTCGCAGCTCCTCATCCAGATGCCTCTTGAACACTGCCAGGGAAGGCGACTCCACCACCTTCCTGGACAGGCCATTCTATGCCTGACCACTCTCAGAAAAGTTCTTCCTTATATCTAACCTAAACCTCCTCTGGTACAACTTGCAGCCATTTCCCTGGGTCCTGTTTGTTGCCTGGGAGAAGAGGCCAAACCCCTCTTCACCACAACCTCCCTTCAGGAAGCCGCAGAGTGCAATGAGGTCTCCCCTGAGCCTCCTCTTCTCCAGACTCAACAATCCCAGCTCCCTCAGCCGCTCCTCATAGGACTTGTGCTCCAGACCCCTCACCAGTTTCATTGCCCTTCTCTGGACACGCTCCAGGGCCTCAATATCTTTTTTGTAGTGAGGGGCCCAAAACTGAACACAGTACTCAAGGTGCGGCCTCACCAGTGCTGCATACAGAGAGATGATCACCTCCCTGCTCCAGCTGGCCACACTATTTCTAATGCAGGCCAAGATGGCCTGGCCACCTGAGCACACTATTGGCTCATGTCCAGCCGAGCATCAACCAACACCCCCAGGTCCTTTTCTTCTTCACAATCATCCAGCCACTCATCCCCAAGCCTGAAGTACTGCATGGGTTTGTTGTGACCAAAGTACAGGACCTGACACTTGGCCTTGTTGAACCTCATCCCATTCACCTCAGCCCAGCAATCCAGTTTATCCAGGGATAGGTAGCCTCCCTACCCTCAGGCAGATTGACACTACCTCCCAACTTGGTGTCATCTGCAAACTTACTGAGAGTACACTCAATCCCTTCATCTAGGTCATCAATAAAGATATTAAACAAGATAGGCCCCAGGACTGACCCCTGGGGGACACCAGTTAGACTTAGCTCCATTAATCACTACCCGCTGGGCACGCAACATCATCCACATGCCTCCGAGAGACATTTGGGCAAGCAGCTGAACTGTCATCTTCTCTGACCTTGGGGGTTCACTGCAACTTTTTCTTCCCAGATTTCTTCTTTATCTTGTTCCAGTTACTGTGTTTGTTTCCCAGCATAACCATGAGCATCCACGCTCTTAAACTCCAAAGAGAATTCAAGACAGCAGCAGCATTAAATCAGTAGTCTGTGTTTCTTAGCCTTGCTAGCTGAATGATGCTCACTTGGTGCTCTGAAGCCCCCCTGTCCCATCCCACACCCTGCCCTGTGGAGATCCTTTGGGCTCGTGTAACCTCTGCCTGAAGCTTATCAACAGCCAGATCACAGAAAAAAAAGGTATCAGAGGTGATATTTTGTGCTGTGAACCTCTGAAATCGCCAGGACATGTGGAAACCTGCCCAGAGCTGGTAATAAGGACAAACATGGCAGAGGGACTCTTGGGGGAGCCTCATCTGTGGTCCTGCAGTGACCCTCTGCCCTTGTCACAGCAAGGAGTGAGAAAAGCTATTTCATGCTCAGACACCTTCAGCGACATGAGGGATGATTAAAATCCAAGTGCTCAAAGGGGAGTTGATGTTACATACTCGTTTGTATAGTGAAACATCTTTTAAAGCTTGTATGGAAGATAGATTCTTACCATAACCATGTAGATGATTACTATATGATCTTAGTTAAATTTATTTACAGAATCTATTTAAGAGTTGTTTGTTTGTTTTTGGAAATGCCTGACTCAAAAAAATGAAGTCATCTGTCATCTACTAGTTCCTTCTAAATAACTAGGGGCCTATCAAAGGAAAAGTAGGAGGAAAAGTAAGACTGCATGGATGGCTCCATCGTAGATGGGAGCTACTTGTTATGTCAAACTCCATGAGTCAGGAAGAGACAGGACAGCACATTTCTTCAGTATTATTGTGAGTGTTTTACTTTCTTGCTTGCAAACAAAGCAGTGGACTTTTGGCAGATTCTGAGCATTTTTTGAATGGATTTGTCATGATTTAGTAATCAAGAAAGCCAGAATTGTTGCTTATTTTAAGTCTCTAGAGCAGCAGTTCTCAGGTCTGGGGTTGAGATATTTGAGGTTGTTGACATCAAAACATAAATGGGACCAGAAGACCACAAAGTCCACATTTAATCCAGAGATTTAAGGCAGTGAGATCTGGGGACTGTTGACCAGGCTAGTGGTAGGGGAAATCCTCCTCACCAGCTGAAGGACAAAGCTCAGCGCTGCCTTCTTACAGGCATGTGTGGTGTGTAGTGCACCTCCAGACAGTCTAGGTTAGCAGGAGCAGGAAATAAATTTTACTCTAGACATGGAATTTTTACTTTTGATAGCTTATGCCATTTTTTCCCCTTTCTTTTGCTTGCAGATTGGAAAATTTCTTGGTGCAGTGGATGGCTCAGTAATGACCCAGCTACTGAACATGGGCATGTTCAGGCGGTAAGCAGGGGTTTCTGCTTCATGCTTATCCTTGCTCAGCTGATGTATGGGGCAGAGCATGTTAGGCTCTGCAAGCAGTCCTACTGAGCAGTGCAGGATGCCTGAATAGGCATCTGTGGCTCTTACTTTGCTATCAGAGCAACTTCAGCTGCCCACATCCTCTCCTGACAGGCTCAGCCATTGTCACCCCACAGCGTGTTTCTCCTCCTCTCTGTTCTTCCTACGGCTTGACGCACTGAGATGTACAACACCAATCTTAGTGTTGCCAGAGAACAGCTGCTCTCTGCCTTTTTCAGGGCACAGTACTATGGAAATGCTCCCTGGCATTTGAGGTGAAAGCACTTCATTTTCTCCCACCACTTGGAAGGCCTTTCCATGAGAGATGGCATGAGAAGTCCCAGAGGCGGCATTGCATTTGTCTGAGAACATTCCTTCTCTTATGAAATCTTTTATAAAATCTCTCTGGCCACCTCTCTCCATTTTCCCAGCACATTTCAAAATGTGAAAAAAATTCAGATATTCAGCAACATGAAAGCAGGAACTAGAGGAACTTATGGAAGATGCAATTATAATTCTCCAGCTTCAGATTCTGCTTTACTCATCACTGTAATTAGGGATACATTGCATCCCATACTGACCCAGTTACATTAATCCAAGTCATGTATTTCTCCTTTTTCAAAGTCCAGCACTGACCTAACAGCAAAGACATATTTAAGCAGGCCACTGCTTTAATTCTTCCACACAGAAACTTTTTTGTAGAATGGGGCCCAGGTTGGACAAAGTAGCATAGGCTGGCATGAGTGGCCCATAGTCGGTTGTGTTGCTTGCTCTTCACTATCTGCTTATTTTGTTTTAATTACAGGGTGACAATGTATGACTACCAAGCAATGTGCAAGGTGCCCTACCACCACCACAGTGGTGCCCGGCCACTGCTCAGTGTACGTATCCCACTGCACACAGGGATTGTCTGTGGAGGCTTTCTCCTTGGGCAGCTCCAACAAAGTGGTGTAGCACATATGGTGTAGTACATTGCCCAGAAGAGCTTAAAAGCCATTTGCTTCCAAGTGCTGGGAATGTCCAGACTCATCTGAGACAAGTTTCTGAGGCAGTAATGGCCACTGACAGTGGTTTCTAATTTGACTCTTTGTTGGCATGTAGGATCCTACTGACGATTGGAAGAAACAGGGAGGGGGCAGGAAGCAGACTATACCAGCTTGCAGCTGAAATGAGCAGAAATGCTTTCACAGGACGTGTTTTCACTCAGCAGTCCCAAAGGGAGAGTTGCCCTGACAGTGAACAGAGCATCTGGGAGACAAAGTTGTCAGCCTTTCAGGGAAGCGTGAGTGGGTTGGGAGTAACAGAAAGAAGGGTCAAAGCTGCTGAGAAGAGCCGACAGCCCAGAGAATAAACTATCAGAGGTTTGCAACCTCTTTTTAATCTGATACAACAGATAACACAATTCCTCTCTACCTTTCTAGCAGCCTTGACCAGGCAGAACTAAGTCGTTAATCAATACTCAGTCCAATTCAAACTAGCTAAAGTAACCCTAAACAGAGATGTATTTATTATTGATACGATGATTTGACTGTTGAAAGTGTGGTGTGCTGGAAGTACAACTAATGACATAACATTGTCATTCTTTTTCTAGTAAAATAATTTTCAAAAAAATATTCCTTTTTAATAGATATACTGAAGCTGGATAGATAAAATATTGTGATTGTACTGAAAATATTTGCTTGATCAAGAACTGAAAAAAATGTCAAAATACATCAGCTGCCAAAAAAAGGTGAATTGAGAACAAAAGAATCAACCTCCAAATTTCATCTCTCTCTTTGTCCCCTTAGCAAAATCCTCAGAAAGGAAGAAAGAAAAGTCCATTTATATATATACATAGTTCAAAGGGAAAAAAAACAGTCAAATCTCCAATCATTTTACTACTCGCTGACATATCTTGCTTGAAGATAAGCCAATTAGCAGTAATTAAACATTCTCTTGTGTCCAAAGACTGCTGCGTGTTTTGGGTTCCAGGACATGAGTGTAAGTTGGAGAGGGAGAGATGAAGCTTAAACATGGTTACTTACCCTGAAGTGAAGAACCAGCAGGATCCTGTGCAGAGTAATTGGCCCTGGGATGATGCTGGATTTCCAATTTGTAGCAGAACAGATGGAAGACAATACAAGTCATGCCATCTTGAGGAAAGGCTGCACAAAATCACAGTTAAACTTAATCAATAGCAGATAACACCAACTCCTGGACAATGCTGTAGCTTGTCCCAGAAACACCACTTGCAGTTGGAATATAAAAGCTTCCTAGAATGGTGGTGCCCCATTTAGCTGTATTTCTCTCCTGCTCTGAGCTCTCAAGGTCATCCATGCTGGAGAGAAATCATCAAGCAATTACATCTTCAAAGTCCTTCACACATTTGTGATAAACTCCCTGACCCTGACTGGGAGGGGTGAGAAGATATTATTAGCAGCAAGGCAGTTGCTGCTTCTGATGTATTTGAGTGTTTTCCAGTGATGCCCAGACCTTGAATTTCCAACCTTCAGGAGCTCTGAGAGTGGAGGGAATTGGTCTGAAACGTGGGGTCCTGCATAACAACTGTACACTCTCTGACCAGGTCCTTATAGTGTGTCTCATTTCTTCTTTTGTTCTCCAGCCAATTTATGCCTTTCTAGCTGCACTGAAATGGCTGATAAGTGATTTCCTCATGTGAGTACAAAAAGATGCGGGTATTTGGGAGGCTCAAACTAGCCGGGGTGAGAGCTGAGAGGACTGTGAGCGGAGGCACCGCATAGGACATTGCTGTCAGCCTTTTTGTGACATTCAGCCTGGTGCATTGCTCCCGGGAGGCAGAAAGCTATTACTATTCCCATTTCACAGAGGCAGAGACCCTGAGCAGGTCTGGGATTTACCTGAAGTCACTCAGTACAAAGCGGCAGAGTCAGAAATAGGACTCGGGTCTCTGGAGGCACTGCAGGTCCTTGATGCTAAGTCCTCCTCCCTGTCTCATTCTCCTACGATAAGTGATTCCCCTGCGGGGTGAGGGAGGCCAGAAGGAAGGCAGGAAGCTCAATCTGAGTGGCAGGTGAGGGAGAAGGGAGGGATAGTGTGTCAAGCTCTGGATCAGGCTTCACATCACGGAAGGAATAAAAATTAAAGCTCAAATCAGGATCAAGCTCAGATTAGGACCAGAGCTGCTCATCTTTCTGGGCCCAGGCTGAAACAATGATCGTGAACATCCCAACTCAAGAGGCAGAAATGATCCAGGTGCTGGGCCTTGAGTCTATTAGCACAGCACAGTTCAACATGGCTTGTGGCTAAAGTCTGTGTCACCACAGTGCTGGCTCCCCAGGAGCCACCCGTGCCCCTCTGGTGTTGCCACCTTCACCAGTGAGGTCCCTGAACACTATATCCTTCAGGGAAAGCCTACTCAGTTATTCTACTGTATAGATCCCACAATACAGATCTATACACAGAAAATAAATAAACAAATAAATAAGTCTAACAAACAGACAAACAAATTAAAAAATTCAGACTTGCACTGCCAGGAAACCTGCAGTACACTTGTTAGAGGTGATGCTCACTGGGCCACAGGGCCATCTCTTGCATCCTTGATGACATCCTTAATGATTGACACTTGCATCCTTCCAGGCTGCTGAAAAAGCATCCCCTGTTCTTGCTCTTTTGACAGCTTCCTGTTGGAGTTTAACATGAGTAGCTTCTGGCACTCCGACAATGTGGCAGACGGTGAGTATGCATCAGTCCAGCCACCCCATAGCAAGTGAGTGTCACCACTGCTGGTGGCAGCAGGAGCTGCATGGAGAAGCCAAGCCTCATGGAAGAACACACCATCCCATCACATTTTCCTCTGCAGACTCTGGAAGCCAGCTTCTAGATCCCAGCACCACCTTATTTCCCTCCCACCCCCATCTCAGCCTGCCCAAGCTCCAGAACCCTCAAGGAAAAGTCTGTGCAGCTCACAGATTTCTTTCCTCAGTGTTTTCACAAGGAGAAAGGGAGGTTTTTCTTTCCAAGCACCCCACCCTGCATGCATGTCTATCAGCCAAAAAGTCCTCCAGTTGGAAGGGTTTCCTGTCTTTCATAGTGGTGGCTCACAGGATGGGACACAGCAATGCTGCATCAGCAGGCTTTGTGGAACTAGCTGGAAAGCCTGTAAGATTCAACCAAGAACAGCTTCTTTGCATCCTTTGATTCAACCATGCTGTGCTATTCTCTGTTGAGTCATGCTGAATGGATCAAACAACGCATAGAGGGTCTTTGCTTTCCCACTGCCTTTAGAAGCTGGTAGCACCTGGCGCCACACAGCAGCTGTGTGCAGCAGAGGAAGCAGAGGGGTGTGGGTTAGGGGTCTAGGTTGAAATCCAGTGACCTACCCTGTAGCTACTGTGCTGCCTGCTCAGAGTGTTCTGGAAGCCTCTGTGGTCCCCTCCCTGCAGGCAGGAGATGTCAGTGGCCCCAGGGTAGCCCTAAAGGACAGGCAAGATGTGCTGTACGCATCAGTGTAGATGCCATCACTGCTTCCTTACAGACTATCAGCACTAGTGGTGCTTCGGGTGATGACAGAGGAACATTCCTTGCTAACTGTGGGACTTTCCTGGTCTTAACAAGGAAACAGTCATTCTCAGAGAGCAAATTGTCCTTCTAGTGAGAGAACCAGCCCAGCATCTGGGTGCTCTCAGTCCCACTTACCTCTTCCAAAGGGGATCTCCAGACACAGCAGTAGAAGTTACAGCTTTCCTCTGTGAGGCACCGATGGATGCTGTTTAACTTGCACGGAGTGTCCCCCTGCAGAAATCAGTGGGAAAGAGTCAGATGAGCAAGTACAAGATTTCTGATAGTGATGTTATGAATGGTAAATGGTTGCAACTTTATTTTTGTTTGAGGATGTCTGAGGGGGAAGGGAGAAGGTTCTTGCTGCTGACTACTCATCACCATTTCATTTTGTGCTTTCTTCAACTCTCCTGTATCATCTCCATGCCTGCTGTGTGCAAATTCATCTCCACTGTGCTGCCATCATGTGAACCTGTCTCATGGCTCCATCTTCATTGTTTATGTGCATGCCACTCTTCCAGCCAAGGCTGTCTTCCATCACTGTAAGTAGAACCAGTGAGTAGCAAAAAAGAGGAGGATCTAGCTAGAAATCCCAGGCTAGGAATGACAATTTTCCCTTTTTGGACAGGGAATTTGCAGAAGGATGTCACGGTGGTGTGGCAGTGCCTGGCTGTTTCCCTGCACTGCTGGTTTAGCTGGCTGAGCTGGGAAGGGACACGCCAGCCTGCTTGGTCACTGCAGGCACAAATGAAACCATCACTCAATGACTGTAGAACAGATGGGCCCTTAGCTGTTGTGATGTGGTTGTTCCTCACTCTGGCTCCCAGCAGCTGCTGGGTGTTACACCAGGTGTTACACCAAAATCAAAGCCATCCTGTGCCTTCTAACAGGACAATTTCTGTGGATCCTATAGTCTTCAGATATTAAGAGGCATTTAAGTCTCCTTTTCCACACCCCATAGTTTAGCTCCTTCTGATGAATAACAACCCAGCCCCAGGGTAATGCAGAATTACATTCAAGCAGTTTAACTGATAAGTATATGCTCTAGCTCATAAATCCATTCCTGCAGGAAAGCTGGAAATCCCTCCAGACAGAGTCCAGACTGTGGCTGTGTTTGTATCTCACTGCTTCCATACCTGGCTCATGTTTGCCGGTTTGCGCTCTGCCCAGCAAGACGTATGTGTGAGACAGAGATAGAGAAATAGAGACAGTTGGAATGTGCCTCATGCGTGAAGAAGAGGAAGAGCAGGGGAGTGTGGCTGATGAAAAACTGAGGGTCCATGCACGGGGGGAGGGAGTGGCAGGGTGAAAGGAAACCACTGGAGCTGGAAGGAATGGGTTGCACATGTTTGTTAGAAAAAGGCTGAAGATTTTTGCCAGGGATGTTAACATTTTCTTGACTGCCTGCCAAAGCTGGTGAATGCAAACCGTATGTAGAGAAGGAGACATTTTGTGGGAGAGAAACTGAGTACACGTGAATTCGGGGATATGTATCGAGGAATTAATGTTAGGAGGATCTAATGCTCACCCCTGCTCAGTGTGCACTGATGCTATTTCTGCTTCCCAAATTCTTGTGCTTTCTGGGAGGGCAAGGCTTGCCGCTGGAGTACGGGCATGATTGATTCAGACTGCACTGCTTGTGCAAATCTGCTTCCCAGAGATGGTGAGAAGACATGTTTGCTTCCACAGATTTCTCACCGCTCTCAGCATCTCCCTCCCCTCCGTGTCAGTAAGGGCTTCTGCTTTTATGGACAACAGTGCAGATTTGAAGGCCTTTAATTAAACCAGAGATACTCCCAGCCAAGACACGCAGCCTAAGAAAGAATATTTCTAGAATTCTGGAGCTCAGAAAAGTTCCTTTCTGACTGCAAGATAATGTACTCAGAGGATATTTTACAAGCTCATCAATTAAATTCTGTGTTTTGTATTTGTTTCTAAGCAGCAGATTTTGTCTCATTTGTACCAGAGTAAATCCACTGACATGGGTGCAGACATTTGTGACGTACGCTGGTGGCAAAGGGCTCACAATCTGGGCTGTACAATTCGCAGCAAGGAGCAGGGCCGCCTTTGCTATTCAGAAGGATTGGTTGCCAACTGCCTGACAAAGTCTTTCTGAAAGTGCAGATGGCAGCAATGACAGCCAGGAATTAACTCACGCTTTGCTATAAAGTTTGCAATTTGTTATCAGCTCCTCCAACTGTTTACTAAGCCCTGACCACCAGACTCTCAGAGCTGCTGATAACGTTTTGATGTTCAGTGTGTGCACGCAGAGGCTCAGTCCCAGTGTGCTGCTGATGCTGCACATGCTGCTGGGCCCTCTGAGATTCAGAATACTGCTGCAGCTGCATTGCTTCCAGGCAAATTAAGTGGCAGTAGGCTTAAGCATAATCTCTGTCTCAGGTCTTGTCTTGGTTCAGAAGTCAGAGATTGTAAAGTGGCTTGTTTTCATTTTGCCTGTGCCACAAGGCTGATTTAAGACGGCCTGTGCAGGAGCTTTAAAGTACATCTTAGTGCATGTGATGAGGTTAACCCAGAACAAGGCAACTGTGGATGTCCATGAAAGGTTGTGGGCAGAAACGTTAGCAACCAGCCCATACTGTCAGGGCTGAATTGCTCTTGCAGGAGCCAGTCCTGCAGTGCTTTCCATCACTTACCTCTAGTCTGGTGTGGGAGCTGCATCAGAGCTGGGGTAGATGTGTGCAGGTTGAGCCTGTAAGCAGTGCTGGGCTGGCTGAGGTGTGTTCTTGGTGTGGGTTTAGCTGCCTTCCCTAGTAAGGCCCCTTTCTCCAAACCCACCTAAGCCAGCACAACAACCTTGATTATTCATCACTACTTCCATCCTGTATTTTGTAAGCCTGGGTCTGATTCACTCCCTACCTGTTCTCCATCCTTCACACCACTGTTTTTGTGTTGCTTTAACTCCATCGACTTCAATGACACTGCACCAACAAGCTGAAGCTAATGGAGAATGAATTGCTTTGCTGGGGATATGGGAAAAATGAGGACCTGGATAAAATCTCCGTTTTGTCAGGACCATGACATGAGCAGCATGATAAATTCTTGCAGGCAGTTGTGCAACACCTGTGGGGCTGAGGGGTCAGGCCAGTTCTCTTTAATGTTTCCATAAATTACGTGGATACTTGAAGGTATACTAAGTAAGTTTGCAGATAGCTGTAATATGAAGGAGCTATTGACTCCATTGAGGGCAGAGAGGACTTGCAGAGAGATCCTGAGGAATTAAAGGGCTGGGAAATTAACAACTGCGTGAAGTTTAATGAGATCGAATACTGGAATCAGCCTCTGGATATATGTACAGAGTGGGGGACAAGAGGTAGGAGAGCTGCCCTGTGAAAAAGAATCTGGGGGTTCTGATTGATGGCAAGTTGAACACAAGTCAGCAGTGTGCCCTGGCAGCCCAAAGGGCCAACCATATCCTGGGGTGCATCAGGGCCAGTACTACACCCAGGCAAGGGAAGGGCTGTCCCACTCTGCTCTGTGTGTGCGGCCTCACCTCAAGCTCTGCATGCAGCTTTGGGTGCCACAACATAAGGACATAAAACTATGAGAACATCCAGAGGAGGATTGTGAAGATGGTGAGGGGTCTGCAGGGAAAAGTGCGTGACGAGCAGCTTGGGGGTTAGGGATACATTCTTCACCAGAGGGTGATAGGCATGGAACAGGCTGCCCAGGGACGCTGTCACAGATGTGGGGTCTTGACACATATGTTCCCAAAGAGGTGTGTGCCTGTGAGTCTGGCCACAGGTTACAGAATTAGATATTTTTCAAGCCACTAGTACAGCAAATTAAGCCTGAAGGAAAGGGTTCCTGCTTCATTCTTCCCTCTCCTTTAGTCCATCAGGGATTTCACTGGCTAGTTTATGGTCACCTGCTCTGTAGCTGCTCTGTGCTGGAAAACACTAGTAGCTTTTGTCATCAAAGCATGAATGGAGATATTATCAGGGGTGCTGAACACTGATGCCGAATTCAAGTCCTGTCTGCTTCTGGACCTGCAAAAAAAAAAAAAAAAAGAAAGAAAGAAGAAGAAGAAGAACCCAAACATGTTACTGAGAGGTATTCCCACAGCCTGGAAAGATTTCGGTAGGAGGTGAGGCATTTTTAGAGAGGTCAGGAGAAAAGCACAAGGGGCAGCTGTGGGGGCTCTGTGTTGCAGGGAAATATTTAAATCTTTGTTGCATTCACATGGGGAGGGTGCTAGAGGGAAAGCTGCAGCTTTGTTCTATAAATCCTCTGTGCAGCAGCTTTAAGGGACGAGCTAGTTGGCCCGAGGTCAAGAGGTTCTGGGTTTGGGGACATGATGTGAGTCCTCTGTGCCCAGCACGAGCTGGTGTGGGAACCATCTCCCATGCTTCTTGTTGGCTGAGCCACAGCCGCTCCTCCCCTGCAAACAAAGCCTCACGCTTTCAGCAGAGATATTCCCCTGCGTGCCGCAGAGCAGGAGCTGGCCTTCCCACCTCTGACTGCAGAAAACAATCCCTAGGCTGGCCAGATCAAGCGAGGGCAGGAAGATTTTGCTGAAGTCCTAGAAAGGACAAGGGAGGCTCAGTGAGGCAGCTCACGGGGCCCACAAGCACGGGCACCAAAGACTGGGATGCTCGGAGCCCCGTGTTTAACACTGCATGCCCGGGGCCAGGCAGGACGAGATGCCTCGGTGAGGACAGCCGGCTGGCAGGGCCTGTAGCCTCTCGCCCTGCTCTGCGCAGGGCCAGACGGTGAGAGCCGCGGAGCAGCGCTGCACACGCTGGTTTTCCCGCACCACCTAGTGGGAGCCGGGATGGCTGCAGTGCTCAGCTGCTGCTCCCCGACCCAAGCTTCGGGTAGGCTATGGTCAGAGCGGGACAGGCCTTGACGCAGCCCTAAGTTATAGAATCATTCAGGTTATAAAAGACCTCTAAGATCATCCAGTCCAATCGCCAGCCCATTCTCACCCTGCCCACTGCCCACGTCCCTCAGTGCCACATCCACACGGTTACTGAACACCTCCAGGGATGGTGACTCCACCACCTCCCTGGGCAGCCTGTGCCACTGCAGCACTATTCTTTCTGAGAACTAAATGTTTCCCAGTATCCAACCTGTACCTCCCCTGGCACAACTTGAGGCCATTCCCTCTCGTCCTATCACCAAGAAGAGGCCAAACACCCTCCGCACCACAACCTCCTTTCAGGTCATTGTAGAGAGCAATGAGGTCTCCCCCAAGCTCCTCTTCTTCAGAATGGACAATCCCAGTTCCCTTAGCTACTCCCCATAAGACCTGTGCTCCAGAGCCCTCACAGCTCCACTGTCCTTCTCACGTCCTTCTTACAGTGAGGGGCCTCGCTCGTACTTGAGGTGCAGCCTGCGCCTCATATCTCAGTGCAAACCTCTCCTTTGTGGTCCTCTGACGATGTCTGTTCTCCTCTCCCTCCTCCCCACGCAGCCCACAAGCACAAGAAGCACGACACGCTGCAGCCCTGCGACACAGAGTACCCCGTCTTCGTGTACGAGCCGACCATCAAGGAGACCAACGGGCTGATCGAGTGCGGGGACTGCCAAAAGTAAGAACTACAGCTTCCCTTCTCTTAGCGGGAATCACAGCGCCCGTGCCCAAGCAATGCCAGCACTGGAGCCTGGTGGCAGTGAGAATGGTGACAACCTGAGAAGAGCCACTTGCTACCGTGCCCAGCACATGTCCTACGCTATGTGTGCAGTGAGTGCATCCCCAGAGAGGGGAATGGCCCCGCTGCAACTTCTTGATAAAGAGAGGAATCAGAGCCATCTGTTAATAAGCAGAGGTGGCAAGAGGAGGAGGGAGAGAGCATTTAAAAAAAAAAAAAAGGTCTCTTTCCATTCTGCAAATTTCAGAAAGGAACCCTTTCTGTTTTTTCACGTTTCTGGCAAATGTTTTCTCCTTAAAATTTTCCTTTTTGCAATGCTTTCAGCTTTCCTTTCCCCTTTTTATTCTCCCTTTTTTCTGTTTTTCTAACAAAAAAAAAAAAAAAAAAAGGAGGGATTAGAGGAAAAAAAGAAGTGTTAAACCAAAAGAAAGCAAAACACTGGTACACATTTTAATTTCTGTTTTCATTTTAAGCGAATGAGCAGTCAAAAATAACAGAAAGGCATTGTGAGAAGAGCCATTTTCAGCAGTCACATGGCACCCTCAGCACTCACGTGTGGAAAGGTGAAGAGAGGATGAATTTCCACTGGCCTGGCTTTTCCTAATGTGCTGCTGCATAGACCCACACAGAGGCCAAAGAGATCTGACTGGAATCCCTCATAAAGCAAAGCAAAGCCCTACCTGGTCTGACTTCAGTCTTGGACTAGCTGCAGGAAAGAATTAAAGGTCAGGAAAACAGCCTGTGCTAGTCAGCACTGCTTGATGAAGAACAGGCTGTGCCACGCATTGCCTGAGCTCAGAGCATGGATTTGCTGACAAAGGCTGTAGGGGGAGTTCTGTAAGGCACAGAACAACGCCTTGCCCCATGGGGATGCAGCATTCCTTGCCTGATGCTCACCACTGCAGCAGCAAGCCAGGCTCTGCTCTGCTCCTGTATGGTTAGAGGTGTGGGCTGGGGTCATAGCCCTGGAACTGGGTGTGCCTCTCGCACCTTTCATGCAGATGTTCAAGGGGAATGAGAGCCCCAGCATGGGCTCTGTGGAGTGTTAGCTGATGACCTGCTCAGACACACAGGCTTTCCCCGTGCCTTTTAGAAACTCCAGATGGTTCCCAGTGCAGGGAGAAGCTGGGCATTGCTTCATTCTGGGCACCTCCATTGTGATGACAGGGTTAAAATCTGCCTGTCCAACCTCCTGGAGCAGTCATCACTCAGGAAGGAATGAAACAGCCTCAGCAAGTGGCAGCGTGTGACATTCAGCACCTCTAGAAGCAAATATGAAGATCCCCGAAGGCGAGAAGCAGACAATGGGCAGTGAGCTGTCAGGGAAATTGGTTCTTCAGAGCAGTTGAATTGATCAGGGCATCCTCACAAACCTGTATGCCCACAGCCCAACCCAGAAGCCCTCTGCCTCAGCCAAGAGGAGGAACAGGAGAGGCACAGACGAGACATGAGGTGATGCAAGCTGGTGAGGTGCCACCATGCAGCCACAGGCACACGCAGCCTCCTGCATGCAGAGCCATTCCTGAGCTGCCCAGGCACGTGCACGTGTGTGCACACTCATGCACAGTCACACACACGTGTATGCCCTGCCCACATCAGCCCTCCAGCTCCTGCACAGCCCACACTCCCTCATGCAGGTCCTCACGTGGGTGTCATCAGGCAAAAGCTTGCATCTGGGCTCATCCTCACTTGCATGTGCCCATGCTCTCCCCTTGACCTTTCTGCTCATCCCTCAGGAAGGAGAAGGGACAGGCAGACTCAAAGCTGCAGGATGATGAAGCACCCATGAAGTTACTTCATGACTCACTCAAGTAATGTGATGTTCAGAACTCTGCCCCTTGAGGACTACAAAGCACACAGTCCCTCATGTTGTTCGGGCACAAATACAGATTGGCTGAGTGCTGGCATACCTCCTCATGAAGCTGGGCCTTCCAGCTGTGCTCCTCTGAGCCACGCTGCCCAGTTCCATGCTGCCTGCGTGTGCCCGAGGAGTGGTTCTGCTCAGGGTTGGTTTCCGGTCATTTGGGTTTTGCTTCTGATTTTGGCTTTTGCACCCTGTGGAGCTGGGCTTCTGAGCTGGCTGGGCACGTCTCCGTAGGAAGGTGTACTCCCTGCTCCTCCCCCGCCTTCTGCTGCCTCCCTTTCCAGAACTGCTTGCTTTCCTTTGGTTTTCTTTGCACCAGGCAGTGGTGGTGCCATGCAGGGTCTGGCTGCCATTTCTCCATCGCTCTCTTTTCTTCGCAGAATGTTTGTGGCCCAGCAGATTGCCAGCAGCAACCTGCTGCTTCTTGTGACAGATGCCACCTGCGACTGCAGCATCTTCCCACCTGTCCTGCTGGATGCGAAAGAAGTCAAATATATCCTTCTGCTGCATGCCTTTGGGCTCAGGGCTGGTGACGGTGGAAAACCTGCTCCCCTGGCAGTTCCCATGAGGAAAAGTGTGGAATGCACAGCCTGCCTGTGGGATAGCAGGTGGCAGGGAAACGGGGCGGTGTGGTAGAGAGCAGCAGCAGGGTCTCCTGCATACATTTCTGCCAGTCCCAGCCATTGGTCATTCCTTGCCTTCTTCTAGCTCCTGGAGGCCTCCCAGCCCACGCCCCTGCAACATGCAGCTGGGAGGTTGCTGCCCTTCCCTGGCCTACCCTGCTCGGACCCAAGGCCATGCAGAAGCACCCATAGGTTTGCACCCCATTGCTATGTGCTGCAGTTGTGCCTCGTCTCCCTGCCTGTGTCCTTAACAGCCCCGCACACAATGCATCGGTGAAGTGTGACCGCATGCGCTCCCAGAAGCTGAGGCGGCGACCAGACACGTGCCACGCGTTTCACCCCGAGGTATGGCTGTGGGCATTGCAATAGGGAGCTACACACCCTGGGCTCTTTGTACACACAGACCCTGTTTTCACTCACACACACTCGGCTGGGATGTAGAATGATAGAATCAAGTTGGAAAAGACCCCTAAGATCATCCAGTCCAACCGCCAGCCCATCCCTACCATGCCCACTGACCATGTGCCACATCCACATGGTTCTGGAACACCTCCATGGATGGTGACCCCACCACCCCTCTGGGCAGCCTGTGCCACTGCAGAACCACTCTTTCTGAGAAGAAATTCTTCCTACTATCCAACCTGAACCTCCCCTGGCACAACTTGAGGCCATTATCTCTCTATCACTAATTACCTGGAAGAACACAACCTCCTTTCAGGTCATTGTAGAGAGCGATAAGGCTCTCTACAATTGTTCAGTTGTTCAATTGTGCAATTGTTCAGCCTCCAGACTGAACAATCCCAGCTCCCTCAGCCTCCCTCAGACCCCTCACAGCTCCATTGCCCTTCTCTGAGCACACTCCAGGGCTTCAGTGTCCTCCTTGCATTGAGGGGCCCAGAACTGAACACAGCACTCGAGGTGCAGCCCCACAAGTGCTGAGTGCAGAGGGACGATCACCTTCCTGCTCCTGCTTGGCTGCACTGTTTCTAATACAAGCCAGGATGCCACTGGCCTTCTTGGTTACCTGGGCACACTGCTGGCTCATGTTCAGCTGCTGTCAACCAGCATCAGAATTGTAGCAGTTGGAAGGGACTTCCAGAGATCATGTAGTCCAGTGCCCCTGGCAAAGCAGGCTCCTGTGCAGATTTCCGGCCACTCTGCCCCATGCCTGTAGGATTGCATGGAGTTGCTGTGACCAAAGTGCAGGACCTTTTGGCACTTGGCATTGCTGAATCTGATACAGTTGACCTCAGCCCAGCGATCCAGACTGTCCAGATCCCTCTGTAGGGTCTTCCTATCCTGAGGGTGGGCTTTGTGCATCCCACAGGCTGTGGCTCCCCAGGAGGCTTCCTCATGGGGAGAGAACATGCTGGGGATGGGCTCTCTTTCGTCCTCCAGTGCCAGCAGGGCCCGCTGACGCCTTCTCTTCATCCTCCAGGAGAATGCCCAGGACTGTGGTGGTGCTGCTGAGCTCTCAGTCTCCCCCATGCTGCTCCTCCTGCCCCCAGCGCTGCTCGTGCGGTGACACTGCTCACAGTGGGGACACGGCGAGGGACAAACTGCCGGCCCTGTGGGGACATCCTGGTGACACCGGGGATGGCAGTGTGCCCTGGGAGGCACAGGGCTCTGCCAGGCAGATCTGGCCTTAGGAGAGTGGGAGACCCTGCCTTGTAGGAGAGGCTGGGGTTTTGAGCCAGTACAGGGCCTTTGGGGTCCTCAGTAGTGAAGCACCTTCTCCTGGTCTTGCAATGGTCATCAATCAGGACTCTGGGCTCAGGACATGGCTCTGGCCCTGAATTGCACTGACTGCCTGCAGGCAGACCACAGTAGGCAGCACGGCTTTGCCAGGCAGCTGCACCTTGCTGAGAACCTGCTCCGAGCACTGCCAGCACAATGCTCGGATGCATTTCCAGGTGTGCGTGTGCATGTGGGAAGGGGCTGCATGCTGCCCACCAAGGAGAGGCTCCTTCCCTTGGGGCAGTGCTGCCCTGAGGCTGCCTGTGGCTGTTGGGGCCCTGGACCTGAGCCTGGCCAGCAGGCACAGGCTGCTTCTTACAGAGCTTTATGAACAAGGGGTGGGGAGCATCCATCTTTCATCTCTTTTTGTATGAACTGCTCCATACCATCTCATTAAAAAGAATATATATGGCATATTTTAAATAGATATTGAAGCTTTATCGTGTCATGTTTGGTGCTCATCGTAGCCCTACAGAAACCCCTCTCCCTGCTGAACCCATGGGGACGGGCACAGGTGGAGGCTGTAGGAAGGGGACAGCGTGCCCAGACACCCACAGATGTGCTCCAGGGAGTGACAGGGTCAGGGGGTGCTGCCCTTCATAGTGCCGGGTCCTTTGGGGGATGTGGTGGCAGGGTTTGCTAAACCAGAGGCAGTTAAGAGGGAGAGGATCGCTCACTGGATCAACCTCTGGAGGTGGAAACGTTTTCCCTCCTGCACATCCGGTGGCCTTATCAGAATCAGGCACAGGCAAAGAAGGTAAAGTGAGTGCAGAGGGAAAAGGGGCTCTGTCGGGATGCAGAGCTCAGGCAGCCCCCAGGGCTCAGAGCTGCTGCCCCCAGCACGGCTGCCCTTGCTGTCAGAAGTGATTAATGGCCCCAGCACCATTCCACTTGGAGAAGATATGTGCGCATGCACTGCCTGCCATGGCTGATTTCCAGTGCATTAATCCACAACAAACACGCTCTCACAAACAGACCTGTACTGGAGGAGTAATTATGTCCAGCTCCCCACTCCTTCAGCCACCAGCTGGCAGAAGCAAGGAGAGCTGAGGACAGAGGCTTACTGACAGCTGCGCAGCACCACACTGACTTGGCTCAACTCACAGCTCCAAGGTCCTGCCCACCCCTGTAAGCAAACTGCAGGCACTGGGCTTTTTAAAATTAAGATTCAAAAGGAGAAAAGTCCCACTGAGTGCCCCCACCACTTCTGGATGTTGTGGCTGACACCTCAGCTTGAGTCACACTGCTGTGGGCCATCAGGTATAGCCAGGCAGGGGTGATTTCACACACAGAAAAACAGGAAAATCAGCCCAACAGCACATCAGCTGCTTGTAGTCAGGGGAGAGCTCACTCAGAGGCCCAGCTGTCCCACAGGGGCTCACCTCATGGGGATGATGGGCTTGATCCAAAAGAGCCCAGCCCCGGCCAGCCACAAGGCCAACCTCCAGAGCTGTGTGCAGGTTCAGCACGGCTGCAGACAAACACAGAAGGTATCTCCCGGGTCTGGTTTGGGTGTAATTTGCCTCTGTTAGGGAAACACATCATTGCTCTGGGAACCCAGCCAGGCATATGATTTTCTCATCTCATTTGCAACTGGAGCAGCTCAGCTTTTATGCCAGCTGCTAAGAGCCTCCGTGCCCAGTTGCTCTGTGCCAGAGCTGAAGCTGCTAAAAAAAAATGAGATCAACTTGAAACATTGCTGCAAACATCTCTGAGCTCAAGGCAGCAGCAACTCTGGTGTTCCACTACAAGTGTTAACAGAGGAGAGAGCAGTGAAGTGAAGCTCTGTGAGGTGGCTCTGGAGTGCCAGAACTGAGCTGAGCAGGCGCAGTCCTGCAGGTGCACACAGGATGGCCTGGTAAGCTCACAGACCGCAGGCCTCCTTCCTGGGGGAGAACAAGGTCCCCAGGTGATGCTGGGCAGAGGATTCCTTCGTGTGCTCTTTCTGTGCTGTGGTAGTGCTCGAGGATGACCATTGTGACACACTCAATGTTGCCACGGGGCTGCTATGCCTCCTCCATATATAGCAGTTTGCACCTTGGGATCTTCTCCAAGGAGCTGCTTTTTTAAGGGATTGTCTGAAAGCATATCAGCTGGTGCTCAGCACTTCTGGAAATCAGCCTTGAGAAGTGAGGCTGGAGCACTCGAAGCAAACGTAGAAATGCCGACCAGCAGGAGAGGTTGCCTCAGTGCTTGATGGCACACAGCAGGCGAGAGAAAAAAAAAGAGGGAATTCGGCTTTGCTAATAGCTTCAACCAAAACAAACTCAGCTCCTTCATACTAATCAGACACCAGATTTATTTCCAGCTACTTTTAAAAAGTTAGGCAGTGGCCCTAGAGGTTCACGTTGATTGCAGCACTTCAATCTGTACCCAGGACCTTGGCGACCTTGGCAAAGAACGAAGCAATTTCAGAGGGAGGACCAAGCACAGCCCCAGCCACGTGCAGAGGCAGCAGGGTGCAAAGCTTCAGACTGCCCAGGCAGCTTTTAAGTATCAATCCAGTATTTGAAAACACAATAAACCCAATTCACATTTGCATGGGGTAGCTCTTTTTAGTGTAACTTGTGTAATCTAATGCTGAAGTTCTCTGCGCTCCCTGAATTTACTTTGCGTTTGAAAAAAAAAAAAAAAGAAAAAGAAAAGAAATCCATCCTGAGCCATCTAGCTGATATGGGTTATTTACTAGTGCTGGCTCTCTTACAAGGCGTGTATCTGAAGAACAGGAACTGATAAACAGCACAGCTGTAGGTGCCCAGACTGAGTCTGAACCAACACTGGAGGAGGAGACGCATCTCACTGAGGCAGCTCACAGATGTTTGCTGACAGCTGCACAGCAGAGATGAAGGAGCAGCAGGCTCTGTTCCAGGCGTGGAGCTGCTCTGGTGGGCAACAGCCTTGCTCTCTCCCCAGCTTAATGCAACCCCATCACGCTCCACCAGCCCATGTCTGCTTAGCAGGAGGAGACACCCACCCCCTGCGTGGGTAAAAGCAAAGAGGCATTTCCTCCACACCAGTAATTCCAGTCTAGCCTTCCTAGAGAGCCCTTCCAAGGTGAAAAACCCACACCAGCCAAGGACTCCAGTACCCATCTTCCTCTTGCCCAGCTCCCCTTCTTCTGACTCCCTGTCCCTCCTGCCCCTTTTCCTTCCCACAAGCTCTCACCACCTTCGACCTCTCAATGCTGCCCCAAACCACCAACTCCGCTCCCTCCACCCAGTTTGGTTCTTGGCCAGTTTGTTCCAGTCCCCCGTCTGTCCCCAGTTCCCCAGTTAAAGGGGCATAGAGCTATAGAAGGGGGTTGGGAAGAAAGCCAGCATGATTCTGAAGTGTCACACCCAGCCCAGAATGACCCACGCCAGACAGACAACATTCCATTTGGTTCTTTTATTAGCAGAAGTTAAGAATACAGCAAGTAGTAAGATCCCATCTTATATGGAACCATCACCAGAGTCCCCAACCATCAAAACCCTAGAATGTGCTTCATTGCTTTCAACAGTAAGCAATTTGTAAAAAGAAATATACTGAACAAGGCCACTATTTAATGGGGAAGGAAAGAAGCTGTAGGTCCTAACTATTCTATGGCAATAACCTGCACACAGAGCAAGCAAGCCTCTGACTGCTGAGAGTAAGGCATTCAGGTGCCAACCTGGGAAGAGTTCTCAGCAAGAGCTACAGAAAAGTGCACAGCTAGGTTGCTTTTATTGGAACACACAAACTTCTTGAAGGGAGAGACTGACCGGGTAAGAATAGCAGGTGAGTACTGTGTTTCTGTAGTAGTTCTGTGCTGTGTAGGACCAGGTTACAATCACCCTTCAAGGAGCGAACGTGGGATGATGCAGGATGGATTCTGCCACTCCTGCTGGTACTGGTACAGAGGCATCCCTAAGCACCCTTCAGATAAGTCTGATGCTGATATGTTCTATTCTTTCCTCAGCCACCAGCCTACTTCCTGCTGGGCAACTCTTTGACAGGGTGCCAGTGCTGTGAGCTCTTACACCCCCTTAATACTGCTTTGTTTCATTTCAGTACCACACAGCCCCATGATAAGCTTCCTCTGGGCCCACTGGCATCCAGCGTAGTGACCCTACTGAGAACACATCCCCTTAGGCTCACAAAGTGCTGCAGCACCTCTTTCTGCAGCTGGCCCTGCTCTCGGGGGCTTTACAAAGACTCCAGCCCAGTGGCAAAGCCTCACTACCCAGCCAACTTTAGGAAGGCTCTCTGCTTCCATCTGACTCCAGCAGACAAAGCAACTTCCCAAAACACACTTGGTGACACCCAGCATGCTGGAACATCTTCACAATCCACATTTTTTTTCCCTTGAAGGATGAAAATTAAAACTTGCAGAAGCCAAAAAAACAAAAACAAACCACAAAACCAAACTTCTACCTTCCTTCTTGGTGAACTACAGCATTTTATGAGCTGTTGAACTCATCTGTTGGAGGTAATTGCTCTGAATTTCCAACTAAAAACTCCAAGCAGTGCTTGTGCCATAACAAACAAAGCGTTCAGGTTTCATCTTACAACTCCAAAGATTCTCCTCCAGTCTGGCTTCTGCCTGGGCTCCAGAGATCAAGCTGCATCAATTAAGCAAGAGAAGAGTATATACCTCCCTTTATATAGGAGCTGTGTCTGCTCCACAGCAATTCACAATTCAGCTGAACTCTTAGTTTCATGTTTAAGAAATACCAGCAGTCCCATTGCTAAAGCACAGATGGGAAGCAGACCTAAGGAAAAAGAAAAAAAAAAATGGAGCTGCATTGGGTCAAGTGTGGATTTTTTCCTCCTAAAAAGAAAAACCTGCAACCCCCCTTGGAGTATGGAGCCTGACACATGAGAAGGTAACGTGCTGGAGGTCTGCAGTAACTGTTAACTCCAAGCCCTGGAGCACACAACTTCCTCTTTCCAGTCCACCTTA